ACTATGAAGGCATGGGCTGCATCATGGTACAAAAAGATAAATTTTGAGGTGGGTTCCACATGATCTTACAGCTTTGTTATGTGTTTTTTCACAACGGCATGGTGGATTTTCGGCGGCTGCACGTTGAAATTTTGGCGGCGGCGAGAGCTCTGCTTGTCTAGGGTTTGGGCGTTGCTGTGAAAAGGCCAATTCGTTAGAAAATGAGCAGCGAGGGTTTGATCGCTTCCACTTTTTTTTCCTTTGTTTCTTGCCCAGCGGCATGCGAGTAGAGAGGAAGGTGAGAGTCGGTCGATTAAGGATTCAATCGTCTCGGTCGTCTTCAAACCCGCATTCTCCCGCCGCATCACCTCTCTGGTTCTAATCGCCACGCCGACTGTTGTCGTCGGGGCTGTAGTGTCTCCGTCAGCTTCGTCGTGTATCTATAAATGGCCGAACTTTGGCAGCCATGGCTGGGGGTGTTCAATCTGCTAGTCAAGATGAATTGCTAGGTCTCTTCATGATTTCAGAGCAAAAATGAGAGTCGCCGGTTAGGTTAATCAAATGAGAGAGTGATTGAAGGTTGCGTGGGGAAGGCAAATCGCAGATTTTCAGGCACCAAATCCTTCAAACATGGGTTGGCAGAAAAAGCGTCGAGAAAATTAACCCCAAATAGTAAAACACGGTTATTCGAGTAATTCAACAGAGATGACTGTAGAAATTGAGAAAAAGAGGGCCAGTGAGGGGCATTTTAGTCATTCAAAAAATGCCACATGTCACCACTCATATTCTCTTACAGAAGCCACTTTGTAATACAGACGCCTAATTTTATAGTGCAATTGCTCCCTAGGGTTTGCGAACGCTGCTATGGCTTTCTTCTCGACCTTCCACACTCAACTCAACCAATTAAACATACTCAAATCCATCGGCGCCAAGTTCAACCAGGCATATTTTTCGTCCAAGAAAGCTCCCGCCCTGGACGCCGAGGACGATGATATTAACCGCGAGTCACCTGTTGCGACGCTGGCGTCACCTGTTGCGCCGCCGCTCGACCTCAATTTGTGGCTCGAGAAAAGCAACGAGGTCATGCTCGTGGTGCAGAGCCTTGGCAACGGGTCCTCCTGTTATTCTCTAGTCTCTACCAAACGCGACTCGTTCAAAGTAGTAGTAAAAGATGATATGTCCAGCTTGTCGGCTCTACTCAAATCTCAAAACTGCAATCCCGAGCTCTATGCGAAACCCCACGCTTATCAGGTTTTAACTTCCTGCAACCCATGGATATTGGTGACATGTGGAGCGATTGATGATAGGGCTTTAC